TGCTATCATGTATTCCCTTCCTTAAAGACCAGCACCATAGATCCATCCCATGCCTACCCTGGCTGGGCAGAGCCTACCCCAGCCCCACTCCTCCCTCACCGTGGGGGGCATTTATCTGCCCCTGCCCCCCCCCCCCAACAGACTTACCAGTTGCATGCAGCTATACTGCAAGTCGGATCGGTATCGGCTGATATGCCTCCTTAAAAAAAAAAATCAGCCATCGGTATTGGCCCCCAAAATCTCTATCAGTGCACCCCTAATTTTGAATATTCTCATCCCTGAATTATTAATTTTCCTGAACATTTACACTACAGGGCATTAGTGGGGGGAAAGTCCCAAATGTGAGTTTTTTCTGATTCAGAAAGTATCTTGAGTCCATACCATATGAGAGCAGCGGAACACAGCCTGCATGGCAGCCTCTCGGCAGAGTGCTGTAAGGTCCGCTCCAACATATCCAGTCGTTATTTCTGCCAGGTTAAGCAAATCAACATCAGTAGAGACAGGCATGTTAGAAGTAATCAACTGTAGAATAGACTTTCTCTGCTTAAGTGTTGGCGTCCCAATGATAACCTAAAACAAATACAGCAAACAAATATTCCCAGGAGTTCCTATATTTTTCTTTCTCTATCTTTAGACAAGTCACCACGCTGTGTCTCACACTCCGGCAGTGTAAATTGAGGGGCATGTTTCCTGTTTCACAGGGACTAATTAATAGGTTATCCAGTACTTTGAATATCAAAAGCACTATACAAGTAAAGACATTCATGGACCCAGAGGGACAGACTTCCATCTTCAGCTCCCTCTGTGCAAAAATGAAGTTTATTTCCTACCTATGGGGACTTTTTACCATCTTGTACCATCTACACTTTTCCCAGAGCCTGATGCAGGGACTTTGATCCTGAAAGCTTGCAGAAAAGGACAATTTTCTTGCCATCTTCCAGGTGGTCTAATAAAAGGTATCATTTTGGAACCAAGAGTTCTAGTTTCTTGTATGTCTATACGAGTGATAGATTTAAATACAGTCAATTTATAATTATTTTTCAGGTGAGTACTATTTCAGTTAATAGCTCATTTATAAAACAATTCTGCAGCCACCACCATCTAAAAAGCTACACTTTGAAGATCATCTCAAAATTAAAATAAGTAGCAAAATAATAATTTCTACACGACTTAAAAACACAAGCTGGTGATTATACACTTTTCTGTAAAAAACAACACCACACAATGCAGGATTCAAGACAGACAAAAGGAAAAGAAAAAGAAAAAGAAAAAGAAAAAAAAAAAAAAAGAAAAATTAATACTTCATCTCCTATGAAACTGAGCTAACTACATTTTTAATAAGTAGAATAAACTAAAATTGCAATACTCAGCCTCTGGCCCGTGAGGCTGTGTCATCCAGCCCACAGGGCTCCCCATGGGTCCAGGAATTAGGTGGCATAAGAGCAGTGGCAGCATTAGTCACCACAGTTTCCAGAGCTGAACGACACAGACCTGCGTGATGGATCATGAGGGTGTGCAGGGTCGCACTGCCTGCAGGATTTAGTCTACAGACTGGGACTGCACCACTCACTGAAGGCTAAGTGTCACTGAACTAAAAGTAGATGCTCCCCAGAAACAATCTGTAGCATCAAGAGCTTTGTAGGTACAGAAAACAGAGACAAGTACATAAATTACAGGAAACTTGTTAAAGTAAGACCAATCAAAATCTGTTTAAGTTTTAGGGTCCACCATCTTGCAATACACCTATGTACTAAGCCCTTCACAGGATTAAAGAGCTATTGAGTTCATGCAAAGACAATAAAGCGAACAAAACTGCATCACAACATGCAATTAGGTAGTTGAAGGATATGCACTAATTTTCAGTCACAGATAGATAACTGTGAGAGTTCCTAAATTCCTAGTAAAGATAACATGCCATATTTTGTAAAAATAATGAGGCTGTAACATAAACTTGTATTGCAGCCCTCTGCT